ATAATTAGTCGTCATGATTTTCAACAATAATTCTTATCTTTTGAAGTTCTTTGTAAAGGTAGTTGAATTTATGAATTTGCGATTCCCAGTCTTTAACTTTTTCCATTCTAAAAGATCCAAATCTCTATTCGTGTAATTTTGTATGCATATATTTGTTTAACTGTCATCATTCATGCGTCGTTTTCCTCTTGTACTACGTTTTTTTGTGGTTTAGTAAGAAATCATTGTTCATGAGCAGTTGTTGTCGTATTGACGTATCACATCGAATCTATTTTATGTTGTATTTTGTTCATTATATAATTTATTTTCAAGTACCAATGCTTTTGATCCCATATCTTGTTTATGATAAAGTTCAAGATGGAGACCATGTTTTAAACGTTGAATCTCATCTTGAAGATGTTGCTCACACTCTTAAAAAAACCGTTGCTATTACTGAACTTAAAAAAAAGGTTTAGCAAGCTGCTAGGGTGTGGGTGGGTGTTGGTGGATGAGTATGTGAGCGTAAGGTCTCTATTCTATCCACACCCCATCCTCAGAATAAGTGTAAATCTCGAAATTGAGTTTTTCTTGAAAAATTGACCTTGTTGAGGGAAGGAGCTCTTAATGATTGTCATATAATTATATTCGTTCGAGTATATATATCAAAAAAAAAGTGAGAATATTAAATGTCGATCTTACTTATGATTTATACATATCAATTCAAACAATTTGAAAAAACAGCATCGTACATTGAGAAAATCAGAGATTGAAACGAGATTTTTTCTTTTTTTTTTACAAATAATGGAACATCATAGCGAGTATTCATATATCATATAAGTGAAAGCAAGATGATGCAGGATTATGATGATAGTGAGAAAACCTATTCGAACCTACGCTCAAAATTCCATGGAAGAGCCACTTCAATATTATGAGATTGATACACTCATTATTCACTTAGAATCCAATAGAGAAGTACTGATATGGCTGAATGGAACAAAAAGTTATCTTTTTTTTTGTGCTTCTCTATATGGTTACTCGAACTTTGAGCTTTATTGAAGTCAGTAGGCAGCATTCTTTAGAAAGTTTCTGAAAATATTCTATCTTGAACTTATATTTTTCGAAACTTGTTTCTCTTCAAAATTTTGACATAATCTCAACAATGATTTCCTTAGAACTGTGCTCGTTTGTCATTTTTATCAAGATATGGTGATGCTCACTCGAATAATAACAGTTTCAAATTAAATTAAGTCACAAAATCTAGAAAGAATTTATTGTAACATATGAAAAACAATCCAAATAGGTTTTTTTTATAGATTTGTTTCTATGCATATTACATGATTAAAATAGAATAGAAATGACAGATGATTTATGATTATAAGAGATGGCATTTTTCTGATAAATCTATCTCTCATTTAATAACATTTGTTTGATTCATTTTCCTCTAATCTTTTCGTCTTATATGTGTGGTATATGAACGATCACGATGTTATAGTACAATAAACATCTCTTTCGTTTCTTTTATTTTCTACAGATATGAAAATATTTTTTTCTAACTCAATTGTCTTTAAGTTTGTTAAATAATAATATTTTTCTGTGATCGTGTTTTCATTGTTCTCATATGACGTTGTAATCGTTCAGAATATTCACAAGCCCATGAACTAAGTTTTGGCGTTGTAGATTCAATTAATTGTTCAATATGTTTAAAAATTTCTTTTAATTTTTCATCCTTCATTAAGTAATTTTTCATTTCAAATGGAAATGGCATAGGTAAATGATTTTGTTCTTTATATAGAACAGCATGACGTGCTATATAAAGAATTAATGTTGATAATAAACGTATATTTAACCATTGTGTACGATTAAGTTGGCCACGTATTAAACGAAATTTAACTGGTTTTAATAAAAGTGTTTTAATTAAACAATGAAATATAAATGTTGATATAAGAAGAAATTTTGATGTAAAATGATCTAATTGTAAAAAACCATGTTCTTTCATTTTTGAATAACTTATTAAAAGAAGATGTCTTTCAATAGACCAAAAATATGTTGATGGATATTGTTCAAGAGAACAATTAAGTAAATAAATTAAAACAGATTCATCACTATTTGTACCTAAAATACCATCACTGGGTAAAAAACTTGTTATTTCATTTATAATTGTTCGTACACAATGAAATAATTGTTCTTCATTTAATAATTTCGATGAACTATTAACAATATATGATAGAGCTTTATGTATAGAAGAATATGGCTCAAGATAAACACGATGTACAGCTGTTAATAATTCAAGAAAACGAATCCGATGATAATCACGATGATAATATGTATCTTTTTGTTTAGCTAAACGTAAATTTTTTTTTAAAATAAAATAAAATATTATTATTAAACCATAAATTTTCCAACGTTGTTTTAAATTAATTCGTTTTATAGTATAAATTTTATTTGTATGAAATCTTTCATAATCAGTTTGTAAACGATAATAATTATGCGCTAAAGGAAAAAATGATGGTTCACGATTATATAAATTTAAATTTGAAAAATCATAATGACAACAATTTTTACAAAAGAATAGTGGTCGATAATGATCAAGACTAATGCGTGGAAATTCAACTGGTGATATAGGTCTTGGTAAAATAGGACGTATATCATTAAAATGATATGTATTAAAACTATGATATCGAGTAGATATTGGCCATGATCGAGTTGGTTTATATGTGTTTGAACGGCAATAGATATCTGATGGTAAAATATGCTCTTGATGAAGATGTTTTGACCAAAGATCACGAACAGATATTGGTTCGATTATATTATCCACATCATATGAATATAAAGGTTCACTAAGAGAATTTCGAAACGACCAGAAACGAAGTCTATGATTAGGATACATACTTTGACATTAGTTAAGTATTACGTTATAAAGTTTCAATCAATTTTGCTTCCTGTTTTTTTTACTAGAATAAACGTACATAAGCATTGACTGCACAGAATATAAAGACGAATGATTAGGAGTGATTCTTTGTACTATGTTATTTGACAGTATGGCACAGTCTGTAAGTGTATTTCCTATTATCAACCAACATCAGATCATCTTATTTCCGATTTGAACCCGCAAAGTCCGAACTATGTTCGATTCCGATCTGACTCAAGAACTAGTTATTATGTTGATCATTCTATCTAATTTGAAATGATCTCTGTTCCATACGTATCACTAACCTTATACGCTTATCTTACTTGTCTCACTACTAAAATTTCTAATGAATAGATTCTTTTAATCTGTGAAAATCATTCATTTTTATAAGAACAAAGTACTCTTTCATCATTGTTATTCCTAGGTACTAGATAAACATATCTTTTTTCCATACGATATTTTTATTTGTTGCCTATAAATAATATAAATGCGCATGTTCGTAAGGCGGAAATAATAGTCAACTAAGACAATATGGAACATGTGTAATGATTTACAATAAAAAGAAATCTATTCATAAGGTTCACACAGACTAAGCATTGTTTGTACATGCAAATATACGATATAAAATAATCATATGTACTAGTATCAATCTTGCCGATATCAAAGATTATTCATACAAACTATGAATTGATTTTGACATCTACTAAGACTATCTAAGAGTGAGTACTATCGAATAATACAAATATAGATTTTCAATAGAATCTTACACTTTTGACTATAAATGTTTTACAAGGAACTTTCATGGCTATGATTGTATGATAAATATCAAACATTTCAATTAAAGACAAAATGATATTTACTTTTTGACATTTGATATCATATCAAAAATAAATTTATTACTTGATTGTGTTAGGTAAAGCTGCTTATATAACAATTGAATGATTCTATATTGTGCTTCGTTACTTGCAGTTTTCGTTTTTTTTTAATCAGAATCAGTCGCACACCCCTGCTGTTCTCATTAAATCATGAATAAAAAGAGAAAAATAAAAGAAAAAAGAAAAAAGAAAGTAAAAAATGAGAAAAATCTTAAACCACACGAACAAGTAACACAATATGATAATGTGTAAAAAAACTTTCTTTTTTTTTTCTATATGAATTTATAATTAAACATGTTGAAATGGATTCATAAGGCTTTGTAAAAATGGATCTTGTTTTAAACCTTGAATAAATTCTTCTTTTGATATACGTTGATCTTCATTGACATCAAGATTTTTCATGATTGTATCAGCACATTGATCATATGAAAATTTTCGTGATGTATCATCACTCATACCTAATAATTCAAACATTGCATGTAAAATAAATAAAATTTCAGCTCGATCAATTGAACTATTTCGATCTATATCGTAAACATTAAATGCATAACGAAGTTTATCTTCTAATGGTGCTTCAGTTGTAGAAACATATGCAATAAGAAACTACAAAAACAAACAAACAAGAATCATTGAAATAATTTGATAAAAATAGAACTATTGAAGTAAACAAAACTTGTAGACTTGCGGCAGTACAACAAGTGCTACTAATCTATTCACATGTTTTATATCAGTTATTCTTATCAGATAGTTTTATACTTCGCCAAGCAAACCAAAATTATATCCATAACAAAAATAATAATGTTTCTATTATTAGAAGAATAGTTCTAATACGTGCAGATGAGACCTAGGAACGAACAAACTAAAAGTCGGATGTGAGAAGTTATAATTATATTGCGTTTGTTATGCATTCTCAATAGCTCTTGGCTCACTTTTCAAGCAGCTTTTTATGATGAAAATATTATTCATTATAAAAGGCAATCTTTTGTTTTCTTTGTACGATATAGTATCCGAAATAATGAAACATTTTCTATCCGACAGGATTCTTATTCTATAAATTCATCAATTAAATAATTATTATAGCTTTTTTTTTTTTGCTTTTATAATTTAAATAAGAAAGCAAGAATGTCGATATATTTTTTTTGATGAAAGTCTAGTTAATTTTTAGATTATATAAATTTGAGTAATACTATGATAAGAAGAATATATGAAAACATACTTCAGAAAAACTTATCCCATGATCACCGTTTGAATCAAATGCACGAAAAATATTTTCACTTAAACGTTTAACATTTTCATTTGGTCGAAGTTCTTGATAAAATTTGCAAAACTGTTCTTTATTCATTGTTGTGGAACCTGGAGTACATTGTTGAGTAAAACGTTCTTGCCATAAATTTATATCATCACTTTTTAATTGTGTACATTTTGCTATTGATTCATAGACATAATCATCAATTTTAACTTGATTTGATCCCATTTTTGTTTCTTTTATTTTTTTTTTTATATTAATCTAAAGAAACAATACTTACTTACTAACAAAGTTTTTATCAAATGAATAACTGTTCCTCTTTACATGCCACTTCTATTTTTCTTTTCCTTTAGATCGATTATATGCATACATGCAATCCGCTTTAATAGTTCGTTAGGTTTTTTTTTGCTTATTTCCTCTTTTTTCTTTCTCATGATTTTTTTTCTCCTTACTGGTGATGAGATAAATAACATCCAGCGATTCTATGTTGGCTTGAAAGTATTTCATCTTATCTTTTTTTGTTTCTTTGTATTTTTGTATGGTTCGTTTAGAAGATTTTGTAGCTTCAACGGAAGTCAAACTAATCTTGGTCTGTCTCAATCGATCAAGCATACAAGTCTATAGTCCTTAGATAATTGAAGAAACATGCAACCACTGTGTGAAATTAAAGACATCAACATAATATTTATAATTTTGTATTAATTGGAATATGACATGCAGTTCAAGGAAGAAAAGCCTTTAGCATATAAAAATGTTTATTAGAAGTTTTTGCTCGTATATGAATAAAAAATAATAATAATAACAAAGGTTTCATTAATTAATCATTTTAGAATATAATATAAGAAGGAATTGTCAAATATAAAATAGAATACCCAGAAGATATGAGGATTTGATGTTTTTTTGTCGTGTAAATAAATAAATGTATTATTTATTAATGTATGTCACCTGGTCTTAAATTAGTTGTTTCGACATTTTCTTTCTTTATCAAGATTGAATCAGCAAGTCGTCTTAAAAGATGTTGTCTACGATCTTGAGGTTCTTTAAGAGCAAGAAAGAATCCACCATTAGTTCGAAATCGAACCACAAATTTGAGAATTAATTCATCAAGTTCATGATTTTCCGTTGTACTATAAACGAAATTCATAGATCATTGATGTAAATAAGAAAACAACAAAAACCTTACGATGAATATTTACTGCACAATTTATCAAGTATATCAAAACATTGAACAGGATTAAGATAATCAAGTTTAGTTGATAAATCATTAAAATTTACTGGTTTATCACTATCATAACTATCAACTAATTGATTACATTCAAGAACATTTTTATCATTAATTGCTGTAAGTCCTCTTGCAATACCTATAAGCAAAAAAAATATTCTAGAAAACATAGGCATATGAATATATATATATATATATATATATATTGCTAATTACTTACTTCCTGAACAATATGGACATAAACATTTTGCTGACGTATTGTCACGATTAACATTTTCACACATTTTTACGTGAGAGAAAAAATCAATATTAAAAAAGAGTAAATCGTTATATTGTTACACCTGCGAATATTTCTCAACCAAAGTAAAAGAAATCAAATATTCGATAAGAGTAAAATGCACCTGTGTGTATCAACTCTTTCTTTTTTTAATTTGACTAGTGGTGGGCGAAAAGGTAGATTACTTGAATTATCAATTTGATGACACTATATTACTATTCTTTTTTTTCAAAATAAACTTATATATATTTTTTTTTGTTTTGCATCTTTATTTTCGTATCGAATAGTCTTCTCTAGATGGCAGTAATTTATTATCAAATATTGATAAGTATTTCGTCATCTAGAATACTGATAAGAATAAATAAATATATTACTAGCTTATTAACAAAATAAAAAAGATAACACGGTCATATTTAATTCATTGATTACTGACAAAAGATAAATAGATATAAAATAGAGTGGCTTTACATCGTGCACATTTTCATTTCTTAACGCATGAGACCGTAACCAAATGATAATGTGAAAAGCTTCTGCTATTTGACGTTTGCTTCTACATAAATATATAGAAAAATATGCCTATATTAGTTTCCTGTAACGATACAGCGCATGACACATATATGTGTCGTCGATTACCAAACAACTAATATATATCAGTTTAATATAATTATTTCACACAAATATGATTGATGACTGTTACTAAAACAATAATCATAGATTTCTTATCAAATGAGTTTAATGTGTTTTTATACTTATGAATGAAGAATATTATTCTCCAATTCTATTACTCTTTTAAATGAAAATACAAATGAGCAAGAGAATATAAAAATGACAAGAAAATAACTATAATCTTTAGATTATAGTTTATGTAAGTTTACACCTCGTGCTGTTGATATAGCCAATATATTTTGATTAAATACTGTAGCACAAAATGGTGGTGGATTATATGCACATGTTGATTTAACATTTCCATCTTTAGATATATGAAATAGACGTGAAGTATTTCGATCGACAACAAGCCATTCATCATGAGTTAATAAACAACATCGAGTTCTAATATTTTGACTATATACAATATTAAGTCTAATAGACCAAAGTCTATCTAATGTAGCTGATGATCTCATTTCAATATGTATGGTTTTTTCAGATGAATTTTTAATCATCATAGCAATTTTACCATTATTATAAACAATTCCATTAATAACTTCATCACGTGAACATGTGTCTGGTGATTGCCATTGTTTAACAAGTTCAATTGTTGGTAATAAACTAAATTCCATAATAGATGATCCCCATACTTTAGTTGATAAAAATAATGATGTTTCAGATGTTGTACATGATAACCATTTACGTTTTTGAAGGGCTTGAATATTTTCAATAGACATATTATTTTCATCAACAAGAAAAACATCACTGCCATTAATAACAATAAAACGATTTAATGCTGATGACCAACACATATCATAAATTGTTCCATATATCCAAGAATTTTGTTTTATTATTGTTAAATCTTGGTCAACTAAACATAAATTTGGTTCTTGATGTATTAATAAATAATGTTTATTGCATGCTAATGGTGTCCAATTTTCTCTGGTATAATTAATTGTTTTATACAATGGTAATATTGATGATAAATCAAAACGATTTATATCTGAATCTTCAATATGTATTAAACTATCATCAATAACTAATGATTTAATTTCGATTTGAAATGATGTTTGTTCAATTTTACTCATTTCACGTTCAAGATCTCGTAATGTTGATTTTAATGAATCAATATCCTTATGTGTTGTTTCTTGTTCTTGTATTAATTCAGACATTTTAATACGCATTCGACTTATTTCTTCACGTTGTTTTTCCATTTTTTTTGCAATACATCGATCAAGTTCTTGACATTTTCGTTCGAAAAAATAATCAATTGTTTTATGACAATCTAGACGCCATTTTTTTAATTTTTCATGTGAATCACCAATTGCATTTTCAAGATTAATTGATTTTAAACGTTCGCCAAGTGCATTGATTTCATCAGATAAAGGATTTAATTGTGAATTTAATGATAAATCATGTTCAATCATATGTTCTCGACAAAAATTTTGATTACATCCGTAACATAATGTTCGTGAACTGCATTTACATGTTGAAATAGCGCATGGTTGAGACATTTGTTACTAATTGTAACAAAAATTACTGCTTTCTGTTTTAGACAATGGTTAAAAAAGAAAAAAGAGAAAAATTTTTCTGGTACTCGACAAATAAAGACAATTGTTTGTTTGTATAAGAAACAATTCTTGCTCAACACTCTTAAACGATCGAACTGTAAGTACAAAGTGAATCAATGTGAAAACATTTTCAAAAAAAAAAGTACAGGGCGAAGAACTACTTATTTTTTGTTAATGAAAGAAAAAAAACAGCAAACTTTAGATTCTCGTCTACAGATTCAAAAGTTATTAGAGGACAGATTTTTATTTTCAATAAAAAACCTATATTAAGAACCTCTTTTTTTTTTATTCTTGGAAATTTTTGAAATATACTTTTTCTTTTTTTCTTCTTATTTAATACTATGAATACTTTGAAGTGTTTTGTTTCAAATACTATATAAGCAGAGAATTTCTTTCTTTCATTACAAGCATGACCTATGTTGTACGAATTATTTCAATTTGTATTTCGAGCGTATTCTTGAGAAATAATATTATATTAATAAAAATCTTTTCTTTTTATTTGCACATGATAAAATAGATTATTAAACTTTTTCAAAAAAATATAAATCAAATAAAATTTGCTGAATTTAATATTATTTTTGAATATTACTGAATATATGCTAGGAATGAAATTTTTTGAATTAAGTGAAATAGAATTTTCCAAAAAAAAAAAGAAAAATTCAGTTCTGTTATTAGAAGAATATCATCTAATGACACATAAATATTAGACAAGTCAAGCAATACTAATAAAAAAAATCAGAAGGTTTCTTTTTATTGACTATTTATTGTCAATTATTATAATTATTGTGGGTACAATAAATTGAAGTCAAGTTGGTGCCGTAGACAGAAATAGTTTTTTTTTTTCTGTTATCTATATTTTAAAAATAAAATAGTAGGCCACTTTTTCTCGATAATTCACCTTGCAGTTGAATGAAAATGAAAAGAAAAGCTTTGCAATACATTTTATGAATACTTTGATAATTGACGTGTTTCAAGATGCAATTTTGAAAAAAAAAAAGAAAAACATCTGCGTCCAATGTCTTATAAAATTATTCGACATATTTCACATTGTATTTGCTCGATTTAAAATAATAAGATTTCATAAAAGATAAAAAATCGAATAAACTATGTGCCTCAGAATTTTTGTAAAAAAGATTATATGAGTAGCAAACTGATTCGAAGACTTTTTTTAACATAAGATAAGAACGATTTGTAAATGATCGTGAGAATCAGTGAAACCTATTTTTTCTACTTTTGTTTTCTTGAGAGTAAACGTATAAGTCACTTGTGAATATTTTTATCTGTCGTTTTTTTTATGATCTAAAATTTTTCTTTTTTTTACAAACGTAGCTGCTGATTTTCCTAATTCTATGAAATATTTATATTAATATTGATCGTCTTTATGAAAGTCATAAGAAGAATTTCATCAAAGATCATTAGTTTGCTGTAGAAAGACCGTAAGGAAAAATATCGAACTAGAAAGATATTTCAAAAATTCATGTCTCCAGTAAATATCGACTCTAGTTAATATTTCAATCATCTTCGGAGTTTTACTTGTACCACCATCACCACTTAATTATGTTAGTGGTGATGGTGGTACGAGTGGAGCTCTGAAGATGATTGGAATATTAGCTAAATGTAATTGTTTATTATTTATTAGAATAAAAAGAAATAAAACAATCTTTCAAATTCACTGCTATTGTTATTCGTATTCTCTTCTATAAAACCCATATTGTTTTCAACTATTTTAAATACTGACTCTAATTCTCTATAGTTTATTATGGATAAAACAGCAAAATAAACCAAAACAATCCCTGTTCAACATCGTGTAAATAATCTTGGTGAACGATACTATGATGGCCCTATAGATGTAATGGAATATTTAAATGGTTTGTCATTTAAAGTTGCTAAACAGAAAAAAAAGACACTACTATTTTTTGTGTTCTTTTATCTCTTACCTTGTATATAATCTATGTTACAATGTTAGTATTGGGTATGGGGAGGGTATGTAAAGATCCATACAATACTCACACACCCGCACCCACCTTTATTTTTACTTTTTTTGCCGCTTAAAAGTAAATGTCCTCGAAAATGGTCGTCGTCCACTTTACTTTTACATGGTATTGCCACAAAAATTAGCAGGGCTACAGATAGCTTATGAACTGATCATTCTATTTTTCATACAGATGAAACCGTTTGTTATTATTTTCTCAACTATTTTTCGCATCGACCAATTTTTGTAAACTCAATGTCTTGTTAGTTGAAATTTTCAATATTTTTTCTTTCGACTTTTTTTTTTACAATACATCAGGTCTTTAACTTTTAGGAAGCAACCAACAAAGAAAATTCTCGACTTTGATACCACAGATTAGTAAGCTAATTCAACAAAAAAAGTATGTGTAGGATGTTGATAGGGTCCATTTTTTTGTTCTACTTTAAAATGAAATATAAGCGTAGAAATAAAGCAAGTGCCATATTTTTTCATAGGATACGCTTAGATAGAAATTAAAATAAAGAGTTTCGATTAAGATAAAAATCTTTTTTATCAAGTCTTTTTAGTCATCACATTTTCAAACGTAACCTACAACAAATTCTTTCTTTCGTAATAATCAAATAAGCATAATAATTAGGCAATAGTTTGTTAAGTTTTTATAATTATAGAATACTAAAAGAATTCTTTCTTTCGTTTGCCTTTATGATATGATAGAACTCTAAATGCACGCATTATATTTTATTAGCATATGTACTTTGAAAATTTATTTGAAACTCATGTTTCTTTCAAAAAAAAAATCAAAAAATTTGCATTTCGATCTTTGTACGACATACAAACATATTTTAATAGAACTGACTTGATTTATATTGAAAATGAAAAATTCTAACTTTACTATCACTATTTTTTTCTTATATAATATCTCGCCTATATTTTTTTCGTTAATTTATTGGATATATAGGGTGTCCAATAAATCATGAAAAAGACACACTAAAAATTGAATATCTCCATTATAGTTCGACCAAACGGACTCGTTTTTTTTATACCAAGGATAGAGGCATGTTCACACTCCAAATTCATACGGATAAGGTCAGTGAGAAACTTTGTTAAATACTACTATTGACCTCAACAAAAAAAATTTACTTGTTCACAGATAGGAAAAGAAAACAATATACTCACCATAGGTTCTTACTAATCTCGCCCATACGAATTTGGAGTGTGAACATGTCTCTATCTTTGGTAAGAAAATCAACTCGTTTGGGTCGAGCCATTATGAAGATATTCAATTTTTAGTGTGTCGGTTTCATGACTTACTGGACGCCCTATACTCTTTCTTCATTAAATAAAAATTATATGTACTTCAATACATAAGGTGTATGTTAAAGAAAATGATTGAATGATCAATTATATTAATTTTTCTGAATAACCAAAATTTTTATTAAGTTTGATAATTTATATAACAGTAAAATGTTTAATTATAAAGTTAATACATTGAATTTCTAATTATAAAACAAATTAGATAAGTAAAAAAAAATGTTATTAGGATAAGATCAGATTATTAAATGTAAGATAAAATTTATTAGCTAGTAATATGGTATTTACATTTTCTTTCTCTTATTGTCTCTCTGTCAGTGGTAGTGTATGAATCGTCTTTAGAAATGCATCATTCTTATTTTTGATAAAAGTGAAACCGGATTTTCAGAAAAGTTGGAAATATGGTTAAAAACTTATGATTTATGGTATACAGGACGGAGTACTTTTATACAAAACACAAATAATTTATTAGAAGCAACAAATGAAGTCGGCAAAGATGAACGTACATTTAGAGAGGAAAATCCCCATCAAGGCTTTTTACAATTGCAAATCGTGTTGTACATAAATAGTTGAAGTCTCGTAACCAGGATCAAACAAATCCAATTGTTTTTTTTTTCAATAAAACCACGAAGTGTATCTACCATATGGACTAATGAATATTATTTTGTAAGATATTCAAAAGTAATTTTAAAGGATATTTAGTAAAAAATTTGTTTTTTCTAACGAGGAAAGTACCCGAAGTGATTCATCGCTATTGAGCTCATATTTTGGATGTATAGAGAAGACCTCTACACTAGAATAATCCTAAAAGGATTCGCACCCATAGGACTTCTCTACAGAGTTATAGCCATTTTACCTGAGTTTTAGCCTATGGCACGGTATGTACAAACAAATCGACTGGCGGTATTTTGATTTGAAATTTTGTCCACAGATAGGTCTACTTGTAACTAGAATGCTCTGAAAATTTCAGCTTAAAAAAATGTTTCCTTTGCAAGATATTGAATTTTCAAAAATCACTCGGATCCCATAAAAGAGGCGAGCATCTCGTGTTTTATCGACATTCAATATCTTGCAAAGGAAACATTCTTTTGAACTGAAACTTTCAGAGGATTCTAATTACAAATAGACCTATCTGTGGACAAAATTTCAAATTGAAATACCGCAAGTTGATTTGTTTGTACATACCGTGACATAGGGTAAAACTCAGATAAACTGGCTATAACTCTGTAGAGAAGTCCTATGGGCCCGAATTCTTTTAGGATTATTCTAGTGTAGATGTATCCTCTATACGCCCAAAATATGAGCTCAATAGCGATGAATCACTTCGGGTACTTTCCTCGTTAGAATTATTCTCATGAAATTACTAAGGCGAAAAGGAATGTTTGACTTAACATTTGATAAAAAGGTACTTTGTATTTAAATAGATACATATTGAAAATATATACATTCGTTGAGTTGAAAATCTTTCTTTCACAATTTTAAAGATTATTAGTGCAGCTTTAATCGAAATCAATCTTGTCTCAATCATTATGTAAACATCGTAGAACGTAAAACCTCGAATCAACAGTTCTAACTAAAGATTTTTGCTTTCCGTCGTTGTGTAAGTGTTAGAATTTATTTACCAATAAATCCATACGAGAAGTAATACTTATGCATTTTG